ACGACAAATGTATCAAATAAACAATGGTACTCAACCATTTTAAAATTCACTCAAAATATTTTCAGGTAAATCTATAAATAGAGGTCTCAAAAATCACCCGCTTGTTTGCCTGTTTTACATCAAAACAGAAACCCATGGTCCAGAAGTCTTTTTCTTTTTTGGGGGGGCACGGGCTTAAACCAAAACAAAAGGGCACCCATCGCAAAAATGATTCATGAAATTAAAAATAATAATTAAATAAAAAACACAGTAGGATATTTTCAAATTAGATATTTATTTTTGTTTACAAACTAACTCAAATTGAATAAATAAATGAATAACAGGCCAAAACAGGCAAAACAAGGCCATATTGTACTTAAGCAATAAGGTACGAGAGGTTGTACTTTATCATGTTACAGTTCGAGGGTGTTGCTACTATAAATAAGAAGTGTAAAGCTGCCTTTCAGCAGAAAATAGTTAGCGCCACAATACGTTGTGTATCACATTTCCGTAGCCTAGAGAAAATTGTGCTGTGTGGCCATGTGTGGCTGTTGCTACAAACAGCATTTGAAACATGGCGTTTGTTAGCCTAGCACTTGAGGTTTGTTGATGATTACCTGGGTGGTCAGAAAACATCCCAGGTCTCTTTGCAAGATCTCGCGCCATCTCATTCTTTCACATCGCTCATGACGTCCACTTGAATTGTCCTCTTTAGCTAAAAGGTGTCCTAAAGCGGTTGCAAAAGCTCGCATATCCCGAAACCCGTCATTTGCGGAGCTTCCGGTCTTTTTTCGGAGATCGTCACTGAGCTAAAAACTGAACGGTCACGCTGCAGTTCCCTGACCACCTTCTTTTGAAGTCTCTCTTTTCTTGGAATTATGCTGCAAATTTTGTTATGCATAATAATCAAGAGTGACTTACATACTCTCCATAAAGCTGACAACACACGTTTGTTCCCCTTCAGGGACTACCGCTGCGTGTAATCGCAGTGGGAACGCCCTCAGCGTGACGCGTCTGAAGCATGAATGAAATCAGTCAATGGAGAGAAAGAGCGTACGGCGAGTGACGTCATCGACCAGGAAGCTATAAATATCCCCTGAGCACACAACACGCCAGCTTTTTTTACTTCAGCAGCTCGGTTGTGTGTCTGAATCTGTCGATTGTGTTTGTGAATATGAGCGAGCAGTATAAGAAGTGTGTTCCTCCCTGTACTCGATATATCACGGGTGGGGATTCACACGAGTTATTTGTGGCTTGTTTGGGTGTTCAACATGCCCAGTCGGCTCTTGAGGGAGTCGACTGTAAGCATTGCGAACGCTTTCCTCTTAGAACTCTGCGCTCGCGGCGATCGCTCTTTGAGGAGAGTGGTATGCTGCGAGCTCCCCAAGGCTCGGGTCCCGCTTCTGTTGAGGCAGAGCGGCGGCGCTTGTCTTGGGGTTCGCAGATGGATCTCACCGGCGATGTTGAGACGGGCCCCGCCCTATCTCAGCCTTCTCCGGCGGGATCCAGTGCCTTTCACCCGGTTTCGGAAGCACGCGCTGCGGTGGTTACTTCTGCCCAGGTGGAGGCACATGATGATGTTGAATTGAGATTATCCAGTTCTGAGGATCTGGATGTCGAAAGTTTTGCATCAGAGGAAACTAGTGTCTCACATTATACTGCAAATGAAGAAGGTTTGATGGATGTGTTATCTCGCGCTGTTGAAAAGCTCAGTATCGAGTGGCCAGCTGATAGACAGGATTCTAAAATTAGAAGCAAACTTGATGATAGATTTCTGTCTGCACGACCTCAACCTTCTCGCCGGTGCTTACCGTTCTTCCCAGACCTTCATGATGAGGTTTCAAAGACCTGGGTTAGACCGGTTTCTAGCAGAATTTACACGAATCAATCTAATGCTTATGGAAACATTTTTGGTGCAAAATCTGCTGGTTATGTGACAATGCCGAAGGCGGAGGAGACGCTCGCGAGCTATCTCTCTCCTGCTTCTTCGGTTTCACTTAAAGCACCGGCTCTTCCATCTAGACCACTAAAAAATACCTCTGTGCTGGTGGGGAAGGCTTACTCGGCTGCTGGGCAGGCGGCTGCGTGTTTGCACACTATGGCTATTATGCAGGCTTATCAGGCCGACCTGCTCAAAGATGTTTCTGAAGGGGGTGAAATTTCGGCTGATATGATTAGCGAACTTAGGCAGACTGCTGATCTCACTCTGCGTGCCAGCAGAGAGTCCGCTAAATCTATTGGTCGATCTATGGCAGCCATGGTGGCCACAGAAAGGCACTTATGGTTGAGTCAGACATCTATGAAGGAAAAAGATAAAGCTTACCAATATCGGGTTCTTCCGTTTGGCCTAGCACTGTCACCCCGCACGTTCACGAAGTGTATGGATGCAGCTATAGCTCCGCTCAGGCTGCAGGGCATCCGTATTCTGAACTATATAGACGATTGGTTAATTCTAGCTCAATCGGAACATCAGGCGGTTCGACATCGAGATGTCGTTCTTGCTCACATCAAGAGGTTGGGGTTGAGACTCAACGCCAAGAAGAGTGTTCTTTCTCCATTACAGAGAACCACTTTTCTCGGTGTAGAGTGGGATTCGACGACGATGCAGGCACAATTGTCACCTGCTCGTGTTGCTTCGATTCTCGCCGCAGTACATCAAGTCAAGCTAGGCCGGTCATCCACTGTAAAACAGTTCCAGAGACTGTTGGGTCTCATGGCGGCTGCGTCCAACGTGATACCTTTTGGCCTCCTGCACATGAGACCGTTACAGTGGTGGCTCAGAACCAGAGGATTCTCCCCGAGGGGAAATCCGCTTCGCATGATCATGAGTTTGCGACGGTGTCATCGCGCCCTGGTTATGTGGAAAGATCCTTGGTTTCTGTCCCAAGGCCCTGTGTTGGGAGCTCCTTGTCGTCGCGTAATGCTAACGACAGATGCTTCTCTCACGGGTTGGGGGGCGATCATGAGTGGTCGCCCCGCTCAGGGTCTGTGGGAGGACCATCACCGTCTATGGCACATAAATTGTCTAGAGATGATGGCAGTGTTTCAGGCCCTGAAACATTTCCTCCCGGACCTAAGAGGCCACCATGTTCTTGTCCGGACAGACAACACATCGGTGGTCTCCTATATCAACCACCAGGGGGGTCTGCGTTCTCGCCCGCTTTACAGGCTGGCACGTCAGATCCTTCTGTGGTCCCAGGGGAAAATTCTCTCTCTCAGAGCTATTTATCTCCCGGGGTATTTGAATCAGGAGGCAGACATCCTGTCGAGGCAGGGGCCGAGGCCCGGGGAGTGGAGTCTTCACCCCGAGGTGGTGGAGCTCCTATGGGGACATTTCGGTCGTGCCGAGGTAGACCTATTTGCGTCCCGAGAGACATCACACTGTCCACTGTGGTTCTCTCTCAGCCAGCCAGCCCCACTGGGGTTGGATGCTATGGTACATCCGTGGCCGAGGTCACGCCTGTACGCTTTTCCCCCGATCGCTCTGCTCCCAGGAGTTCTGGAGAGGGTTCGCCGGGACGGGCTCAGTCTCCTGCTTATAGCCCCGTTCTGGCCGGCCCGAGTATGGTTTTCGGACCTAGTATCTCTCCTCGACGGCTCTCCCCTAGAGATACCGATCAGGAGAGATCTGCTCTCTCAGGCGAGTGGGTCGATCCTTCACCCCCGTCCAGAGCTATGGAGGCTGTGGGCTTGGCCTCTGAGGGGGCCCAGCTCATAGATTCTGGTCTCTCGGCTGAGGTCGTTGAGACCATCCTCCAATCCAGAGCTCCCTCCACGAGGAAGTTATATGCCGCGAGGTGGAAACTTTTCACCTCTTGGTGTGGAGAGCGCCAGCAGGACCCAGTCAACTGCCCGGTTGGTACAGTGCTGGATTTTCTGCAGGACCGTCTCTCCACAGGGTTATCCCACTCCACACTGAAGGTGTATGTGGCGGCCTTAGCTGCTTACCACGCCCCTTCAAGTGGAGGTTCCCTTGGGAGACACCCACTTATATCTCGCTTCCTTCGTGGCACCCTGAGGCTGAGGCCTGCAGTTCGCACGAGGGTACCAGCTTGGGATCTGGCCATCGTATTAGAAGGTCTCTCCCTTGCTCCTTTCGAGCCCATCGAGGAAGTTTCGGAAAAGTTTCTTACTCTTAAGACTATCCTTCTTCTTGCTATTTCATCTCTAAAAAGGATTGGTGATATTCAAGCACTTTCGGTGGCTCCCTCGTGTCTGGAATTTGCTCATGGTATGGTTAAGGCCTTTCTCTGTCCGAGACCAGGTTATGTTCCTAAGGTGCCAACCAATTTGGTTAGACCTATAGCGTCACGCTGAGGGCGTTCCCACTGCGATTACACGCAGCGTCTGTCCCTTCGGGGAACTAGGGTTACATACGTAACCCAGGACGTTTTTTAAGCATGAGCATCATTACTAATAATATGTATACCACAGGTATGTGCCACAATATACCTCCCCAGACTGTCATGTAGCTCAACTTAAGACCTACCTTTCATTTCAATAATTAAATTACCAGTAAATTTGTCTTAATTTGTAGAACAGTAAAACTGCCTGCTTGTATCTCTCTCCCTCTCCCTCTTTATTGAACATGACAAACATCAGTAAACAGCTGGATAAGGCTTTGAAATCACCGATTTTTGTGTTTTTTGTTTGTTTATGTTTTAGGAAACGTTGGACCAATTGCGAGGAAATGTTTTGGATCACCAAACAACGTTGGGGGTTTCCCATGAACACCGTCATCACCTGTGTGCGATGCTGCAGCCTTTTGGCTTTTGGTTGAAGGGAGGGGCGGGGTTTGTGAGCGCATGTTGGGGCAAAATTCCACAAGAACTCAAATAAATGCCCCGCCAAATATCAAAACACATATAGGGAGGAATTGATGACAGACAGTCATTTGTATTCTTATTGATGAATGAAGAAAAAAATTGGGCTCAAGCAGAAGTGGCACTGTCCAGGGCAAAAGGGCAAGTGCTTGAGCACCGTTATGGGTCCATCTGTGCACGTGCCTGCTGTGTGTGTACCTTAGCGGTGGCGTGGTTCAGCATTTCCTGCCAGGTTGGGTCCATGGTGTTCCTGTCCCCTAAGAGGCCCTGCTCCGCCACATACACCATCTCTCTGGCAGCAGTGTGCATGGACACGGCCCTCTCATACCGCAGAGCTGCCTTCTGGGTCTCCTGTTGAGCCTGGGGAGCAGACGGCAGTAGCTTCATAAACATTTCTTCTGCTGCAACAATTAAAAGGATGACTCCCAGAGCTGATATTCAAATTGTACATATATTATGTATATTCATTTTGTGGTCTCTGTAATATTGTGACAGTATAATAGTGGAGGCTTCAAATTTAGGTCACAGGGTTACCAAGAAAATTCACACACGGAGTTCCTGAGTTTGTATCCCTATGGTTGAAATGCAGTTATTGTAAGTCGCTTTGGATAAAAGCATCAGCTAAATGACATGTGATGTAATGTAACAGGAGCCACACATATAGAAACCATCCGCATACCTTATCCGCATCTTACAAAGACACAGCGACTGGAACCAAAAATCTCAAACCCTGTACAACACAACTGATGGTCTTGAAGCCATTAAGAAGGCAATACATTCTGTAAATGAACTCTTTCCTAGGCACACCTGTTGATTGAGAAAATAAAGCAAAAACATTGAATAAGAAGTTCCAAAACTTTTGACTATCTTTGTAGTATCTTTGTATCTATAGTTGACAGAGTGGATTGGTAGAAGGGTGAAGGGAGGAGGAGAACTGGGGGGATCAAAGAGGTTGGAAAACAGTTTTTTTGAGTTAAAGAATTAGGATTGAATAGTGGTTTAGTAGAAAAATAGAAGCAGAAGAAAGAAGAAAGGATAGATTGATAAGCAAACCACTTGTCAGGGTGTTTGGATTTTCGCAATTTTCTTTGCTGCTCGCATAGTGGCCCACTCGACGTGTACCAAGTGGACTTGTTGATGTAAGAGGAGAGAAATAATCAAGAGACAAAGGAAGGGTAGAAAGTAGATTATTTGTGGCAGAGTTGGGATGCATGAGTAAGAAAGTGATAAAGTGACTGCTGATAAAACAGAGGGGGCAAGAGATGAGAAAGCCCGTTTTCATGTATTGTGACTCCTGTGTTGGCAACGTTCCTGGATGAGTAATGCGTCAGAGGGAGAAAAGGATGATTACCCCGCAGGATTACAGTCATTGTGCTGCTGCAAAAGGCGTGTCAGCCTTGTTGCTTCACAGCCACACTGAACTACACTTTCTTGACGTCTAGTCAGACACAAGGGTTATTAGACTTTCCACTGTCTCGTTATACCCCGGGCTGAAAAATTACATTTTTACTTTCATTGAGATAGCAATTGTTTGGCTAAATACAATTTCAAGATCAAGATAGCATCTGCTGGCTGACAAATGTACAATGTATTTATGTTGGTGTATCTTGGTGTACTTTGAAGAGATTGTTTTGGGGTTAGGTGTAGTCAGGCAGCAGTATCGTAGTATTGCTTCAATGCATATAAATGAGTATTTAGCAAACAAAGCTGTTTACAGAATCACTTTCCTAAAGTCAAGATGGTAGAGCAGACATGGGCAAACAATGGCCCGAATGCCATATATGGGCTTTTATATCAGACCCGTTGAATATTGGTACAACATTGTCCAAATTATAGTAGACTGCATTCATTTAGCCTCCAGACACATTACATTACATTTAGCTGACGCTTTTATCCAAAGCGACTTACATTGGATTTTTAACCCATGGCTTTTTGCTTCTTTTTATTGGGGCCGGGGAGCAATTAGGGGTTAGGTGTCTTGTTCAGAGACACTTCGACATGGGACAGGGAGCAGCCGGGGATCAAACCACCAACCTTGCGTTCCCCGGCGCATCATTGTTGAATGTCGGATGTAGTGTTTGCATGTTCGTGGTTCCTGTGGTGTCTTGTTCCCGGTCCCCACCTGCGTTTTTGCCCCTTGGCATTTTTTGATTTCGAATTTTTGACTTTTGTTTTTCAAAAACTCTGCATCCGGGTCCTGCTTTGCCCGCCTGACACCTTCAGTAACAATCAGTGTACCAATAAAAGAAAAGTCAACAGTGAGTGCCGAGTGTTCAATGAGGAGTGGACAGCTGAATATTTTTTCACCAAACTGCGATCAAAGGCTGTATGTCTTATTTGCCAAGAAACGGTTGCGTTTTTCAAAGAATATAACATCAGCCGCCACTTTCCCACCAAGCACGCCAGCGACCAGTCAACGCAAGAACGGACGGCTACTTTGCAGAGGTTTTCAGCCCATTTATAGACTCTGCAAAATACTTTTTCCCGACAAACTGCTATTCAAGGGTCAAGCACCAAGGCAAGTTATTTACTAGCATTCCAACTAGCAAAGGCCAGCAAACTTTTCTCCAAAGGGGAGTTTTTGAAAGAATGCATGGGGGAGGCAGCAAGTGTCCTGTGTCCAGAGAGCAAAACGACCTTGACTAAAAAACACAAAACAAATTGTAATCACACATGACAGTGACTCGCCGTGTGGAACGTCCAGTGCTAAGTGTGGAACCACTTAGCACTGGACGAAAGTAATGATGTTAAAGACACTGTCGACTCTTCGTCTTTATCAGAGGGATTAATGACAATTTAGAGGTAAAAGGAATGTTTGACCACGGAATATCTAAAAAGGCACAAGACGAGGAGAAAACTTGTATGACAGGGTGTCCGGTGCCATTTAGAATCTAAAGCTACCTTGGTGTAAACTTGCCAATTTCACCACTGACGGAATGCCAAACTTAAGAGAAAAATAAGTTGGGCCGCTGAAATGAATCCAGGATAAGGTAAAAGAGGACACACTGCATACTCCATCAGGAAGCACTGTGTATATTCAAGCTTGATCACGTAGTGAGCCAGTTGTAAAACCCGTCAACTTCATACGACAGAGGGGACTGCGGCCTTGTCAATGTAATCAATTCCTTGAGGAAACTGATGCTGAAGTGTGGGAGCTCATTGGGAAAGCTGACCATTTTTCCCAGGTCAACGTCATTTTGCTTTTGCTGTGGACATATTGACACACATTAATGAACATAACATACATAACAAAAAGTACAAGGGAATGAAGAAGGGCATCTACATAACCCAAGTAAAAATCACTAGATGTTTCAGTGTTATTTAATTGGCTTTGCTGTACTTTACGATATGTTGTCTATTTACCACTATTCAAATATAAGCATTTTTGCATTTTTTAATCTGGGCTACTTCTATTTAATAAAATAATATTTAATAAAACGATCTTAACATAAGGCTTCAACAAGACATGAAATGAGCTTCTTCTTTTATTTGTCATCTGACTTATATAGATACATACAACCAATACAGATATAAAAAGTGGTTGCCAGTGGTTCAAAACATTCAAGAACATTTAACAGAGATCACACTGACAAACACAAGATCCTTATAAAGATACAATTTTCAATTAACCATAAAAGTGCAAAATTGCATCAACAAAACACAAGCATCACCAATAACATGAGTTGGCTTTTGCAACAATTCAGTATTCATTCTCAGACAGGTAGTTGTATAGTTATACTAAAGGTTTGCTGTGCAAGGTCCTGACTGGGAGACATCTTTGACACATCCACCTTCAGAAAGACCCCAGTTCATTGCATAAGTGAAGGCCATGAGAAGAAGGCACGCCTTTGCCACACTTCTTTCCCTCGATGACGATCAACAGATCTTTCATTGATGACCACGACCTTCAGGACAGGTTGCATAATGTCCTCTTCATCTTTAGTCCTGTCTGAAAAATGTGAATCACCAGTCAACAAACATTTTACACACATATTATATAAAGGTTTCTGAATACCCATGGGCTTGCCACAATATAAACTGAGAATAAACTATTTGTTAGTTTTGCCCTTGAAACTAGAATGTCTGGCTGCAAAACAAAAACTTTTGCTCCACAACATTGACAACATGAAAACAAAAAGAATTGCTGCTGCATTTAAAATATTTTTGACAAAATACAAATAAGTCAACTTTCCTCCGTATCGCTCGTGACAGTCGCCGCCCGTCAGTGTTTAATGGTGGAAACAGACACCTAGCGCCCGCCGAACCACCAATAGAAGCTCCTGGTTCATTCAGCGGCATAAGCTCCGCCCACTACGTACAAACTTGGATTGCAAAAGCTTTTGCTCCCAGACAAAGCTTTTTTTTTTTAGACCAAAACTTTTTTGAGAGAAAAAGTTTTTGTTTAGTAGCCAAAAATTCTAGTTTCATAAGTAAACTTGATTTTTGTTTGCAATGCAAGAAATTTGCTCTAAAAAGTTTTTTTGTTGCATAATAAAGACACAAATCTTCATACGAGCTCGAGACACGCGCCGCGCAAAACATGAGGTTCTTATAAGTCTAGTATGGTAAATTAATGGGATTCAGCATAAACAACGGTGCAGAAAGAAAAAATAACATTTTACCAACTCCCTCTGTTATTTCCTGGAGCAGACCATTTACACACTATTCAGCTTTATTGTCTATTTCCCATAGACTGGAGCACCAGTTCATCTTCATTGATGAGGTTGGGTTCAACCTCACAAAGACGAAAGAGGGGTGCCAGTCCCTGGCCAGCGCGGAGGGAACATCACAATGTGTGCAGCGATTACCCACCACGGCGTCATCCATCACCGTGCTACCCTTGGCCCCTACAACACCGCCCGCTTTTTTTTAGTTGTTTTTTTTTACTGTGGGGGTAAGCATAGTGTTGCATATTGGGGATGTGAAGCAATGAGACGAGAGCTGGAAGTCCAACAAACAAGAAGGAAAGAAAATGCGTCGTATGCAGAAGCAGCTAAAGTGGTGAGGCAGGAGAAGCAGACAGAATAGCGTATTAATGAAGCCCAAGTGACAGTGGAAATAATGGAATCAGGGTATGGGCAGAAAAGGAGAAGCTGGTCACTTTCATAGCAGGGGTGATAAATGCAACTGTCGAGGTTAAGTCAAAAACCGAAAGGATTCAAATAATAGTTAAAGCAGCAATACATCATCTTGATATGATGGGGTTAAAATGGGAGAAAGTGAGAGACAGTCTTAGTATACAGGCAAGCCAGCAGTCATGTATTGGGTGATTACCATGCTAATACTTCAATGGAATGCAAGAAGTTTAATTTCCAATGGACAAGAGTTTAAGAAATCTATAGATAGCAGAAGGGAGAAAC